CAGACCAACTTACTAAATTCTGAAAAATTTAGCAAAAATTAATTAGCCAAATATTTGCCAATTTGTTAAGTTCTGATGAACTTAACAAATTGGCAAATATTTAGCTAGTTAATTTTTGCTGAATTTTTCAGAATTTATAAAAACAGCTATAACATTCCTAGATTTTGCCTGGCCTATTAACATATAATTTAAAAATTTGATATTTTAAAATTAACATAACTGATTTATATAAGCAATTAATTACTACGTACATTATCATTATATAGTTACATTTTTAATAATATAGTTGATTTTTAATACATTGAATTCTAAGTATATAACATATAAAAAAAAATTAAAATTATTCGGAATAATCTACAAATTTGAATGGCCGCTAATGGCTCACTTATGATTTCATTTTTAAATCATTATGACATTATACTTTTTTATAGTAACAGTAATGACGATAGCCAAAATTTAATCTTATAGTAAGAATCATACTTACATTATACTTTTCTATAGTAACAGAAATGACACTAGTTAAAATTAATATCATAATAAGATTTATACTTACGAGTCTATATTATTTGATTACTAATTCTTAAATCTATTTTTTTTTAATGTATTTATAAAGCAATTGGGTAAGTGACAGTAAAACCATTTTTTCTACTAATTATGGACAAACTGAAAAAATTTGCATGTAAATTGTACTTTGACGATGATGATTTAATTTCTGTGGAATGTAGAGACCCTAATATTTGTAAAATATGTAACTGTAAAATTTCTTCTAATTTTTTGCAATAGATAATATTACTCGACTGCAGGCACTTCTTTTACTAGAAGTGTATTATGAAATATAATTGTTGTTTTTGCAAATATAAAGACTATGAAACACCAAATCGATATATTGAAACATCAACTCCACATTGTCTTGAAAAAATATTAAACATACCATCTTTTCAACTACAAGCTGATAAACTACAAGCACAAGCCAATGAACTACAAGCACAAGCCGATAAACAGGTGCAATTCGATGAACAGGTGCAATTCAATGAATTACAAGCACAAGATGATAATGAACAAGAGCAAATTAATAAACAAGTGCAAGTCAATGAACTACAAGCGCAAGTGTGTGAGCAAGCACAAAGCAGGCAAGCACAAAGTGGGCAAGCACAAAGCAGGCAAGCACAAAGCAGACAAGCACAAAATGGGCAAGCACAAAGCGGGCAAACACAAAGTAGGCAAGCACAAGATTGGCAAGCACAAGGTGGGCAAGCGCATAGTGGGCAAGCACAAAGTGGGCAAGCACAAGGTGGACAAGCACAAAGCTGGCAAGCACAAGGTGGGCAAGTGAATGGCAGGCAAGAACAAGGTGGGCAAGCGAATGGCAGGCAAGTGAATGGCGGGCAAGCACAAGGTGGGCAAGTGCATGATGGGCAAGCACAAGTTAATGGACAAATTAATGAACAGGTTAGCATTATTAAAATTTATTATACAGTATTATATAATATTCATATTATGAAATGTATATTGAAAATTAATTTTGATTTAGGAAAATGAGTCTGCAAATAATGTATTGAAACCTCTATTGACATTATCAAAAAGGCCATGTAGGTCAAAAGTACCAAAAAAAATAACAGAAGTTGTCAAGGTTCTAATTACTCCTAATGAGACAGAAGATAGCTCAGTTGAAGCCTACGAACCAACAGGTCAAATTTTAGTCAATTTATTTAATATTGCAAAACAAGCTGAAAAGCAATCAAAAAAGTCTAATTCAATAGAAATTAGGAAATGGTATGAT